CTGCTTGTGTTTTGCATTTGGAAGAGATTTCTTTTCAGGTAGGGAGGGGGAGTCGAACCCCTTAGCATCAGAGCGTGTTAATAATAATAATAATATAGGATAATACTAATGTTCTGATGGACATTTTGAAAAATCCTTCCTTAGTGAGCCCCTAGAAGCCAAGAGAAATTTCAAGTTTGTAGGCTTTACAGTTCTGGAGATTTTGTTGATGATGCGTGAGTGGCCTTTCGCTTTTATATATATAGATTTATTATTATACGGCTTAAAATATTTACGTAGGAAAACAGTCAGGTCACATTTTTTCAGCAACTTCAAACGGTCATTAAACTGGACGGTGGAAACTTGAGGTCTACCTGTAAAATCACTTAAAACCATAAAACTCAATTCATTGCAACCTTTAAAAAGGTTTTTTTTTTTTAATTTTGCATTGTTATTGCAATGTGTGAACTGGTCTACACAGATTAGATTTGTTCATTGCGGGGTTTTAATCCAGTGAGTTTTGGATACCACCAGAATAAATCTCCCCTCCAGCGACGGAGTTGGGTTGGGCATCTGGTCATTACATGCAATGTATTTGCCTCCCAAGGGGATCATTTTTTTTCTGATGTTGCTACAGTTTTCCACAGGAAAATGTTCGGCGTTTTAAGAGTTTAATTGTTCCATAACTTGAAACTTGGCGTAGATGGATCGTTTTGAGTGCCTGGGGTGGGTAAATATCTTAAGCTTTGGGCATTTTTCCAGGAAGCTATTTGTTTCTTTAAAAAAAAAACAACCTGCATATTTATGCAAGTGTAAATCTAGCCTGCCAAAATTGATGCATTTGTGTTTTTCTTTCCCCTGATTTTCTGTGGCAATTGTAAATACTGAGAAGTAAGCAGGAGCATAAATCTGCAGATTGGTAAAATATAGCCCTTTATTTCTGAGTTGTTTGCAAAGTAGGGAAAGTTTTAAAGAACATTCTTTAAAAATGCAGTGCTTTGGAGTTGGATGAGTTGCTTGCAAGTAAAAATTCCGTTTTTAAACACTGTGTTCCCAGCTGCAGCTAATGAAGGGAATCAGGGCCCTTTCCTCCCCCGTAAGCCAAGCAACCCACATTGCTCCATTCTTCATTCCTCCCTGCATGGCCTAGGATGAAAAGGGGGTGGGCCTGGGTCTTCCTCTGAACTCCCTCTCCCTTGTTCTCCCTCTCCTCTGCTCTGCCCAGCCTGTCTTTGCCCTTCCCCAGTTTCTTCCACAGACAACAGAGCCGCACTGCCGCCCCCGTCAGCTGTTCGGCTTCCTCCTCCGAATCAGAGTCTGGCAGGGGCATGACAGCAACTTTTAAGACTTGTGGACTTCAATTCCCAGAATTCCCCAGGCAGCATGCTTGAAGAAGGGTAGGCTTCAACTTCCAGCATGCGCTGGCTGGGGAATGCTGGGAATTGAAGTCCACAAGTCTTCAAGTTGCCACATTTGGAGACCAAAGTCAAACAAAGAGAAGGATCATGAGTGACATGTTAGCAGTCTTAAAAAAGTGCATTAGACCTTTTAAAAGCACACTAAGAACATTTTAAACAACGCACACTACTGGAGTGTCTCTGGAAGGCATTTAAAGGGGATTTTGGTGGAAGCATAAAAAGAGATAATGCAAGTTAACTTAGATTGGAGGTACGGGGGAGGATGCCTCAGCAGCGTTGCGACAGGTTTAGCAACACAGAAGCACAAAGTTTTGGGTTTCCCCTTCAGGAAGCTGTAACAGGAAAACATTGAACTGCTGAGATCAGAATGGGTGGGAAACTGCGGGCCACTCACCCCCCCCCCCCCCCCAGGGCCTCCAAAATCCGGGGCCAATTTTCTTGCCCCTGAGAAAATTTTGAATAGTTTTTAAAAAAATGCCCTTTAAGCATTTTGTGGGTTTGTTTTAAAATTTCCTTCGTGTTCCTGGTCTGCAAAATGGGGATATTCGTCGACGGCTTTTCTGTCCAAGCTTCTTGCCGGGAGTTTATTTTGCTTTCTTCTTCAAGGCAGCCGTTCTGAATCTGAAATGACTGGTCTTGATATTTGTTCAGTTTTTCTGGAGTAAAACTGAAAATCCTGGAACTGCATTTGATCCCTGGAATTGTACTAATGCAGGTGGTCCTTGACTTATAACCACAGTTGAACCCAAAATTTCTGTTGCTATCTCAAAAAGATGTTGAGACTCCAGAAAGAGTGCAGAGAAGAGCAACCAGGATGATGACGGGACTGGAGGCTCAAACATACGATGAACAGTTGCAGAAACCAGGCCTGGCTGATCTAGGGAAGAGAAGGACCAGGGGAGACAGGAGAGCAGCCTTCCAGTATTTGAGGGGCTCCCACAGAGAGGAGGAAGGGGTCAAGCTATTTTCCAAAGCCCAGACAAGGAAAAATGTATAGAAACTGAACAAGGAGTGATTCAACCTGGAAATAAGGAGAAACTTTCTGACAGGGAGAACAATCAACCAATGGAACAGAAGGTGCCTGCAGAAGTTGTGGGAGCTTCATCCCTGGAAGCTTTCAAGAAGAGACCGGACTGCCCTCTGTCAGAAATGCTGTAGGGTCTCTTGCTCGGGTGTGGGGTTGGACTAGATGACCTACAAGGTTGTCTTCCAACTCACCTTTTAATCTGTTAATATGCAGAGACCTTTTGGATAAAAGAGAACGAATTGTTTTATACATTCATCTATTTTTTTTAAATAAATTACAGTCCAGTCGTGTGTTGTGCTGTGTATTTTGTATTAGAGAAACATCAAATAATTATAAACATGAAATATGAATAAAACAAATTCATTTGTGGAGAGTCTGGAGGGGTGAACGAGAGCAGGGAATAAGGAGGAATTTCCTGACAGGGAGAACAATCCACCCATGGAACGGAAATTGCCTTCGGAAGTTGTGGGAGCTTCATCCCTGGAGGCTTTCAAGAAGAGACTGGGCTGCCCTCTGTCAGGAATGGTGGAGGGTCTCCTGCTTGGGCGGGGGTTGGACTAGATGACCTACAAGGTCCCTTCCCACTCTGTTAATCTGTCTCACTTGACAGCAGAAATGTTGGGCTCCCTTGTGGCTGTAAGTCGAGGACTAGCTGTGCGTCAGTAAAGTCGATCCTTATGTGCCCGGCTGACCCGCTCCACATTCTTGGCACGCTCGTGTGACCAAAATGGAACCGTCCACCCCGAGTGTTTTTTCCTTTCTCCAAAATGAACTAAAATGTGGGCGTTTTCCTGTCGCAGAGATCTTTGGGAGGGGTTCAGTAAGTGCATGCATAGAATTTTTCCCCCCCCTCTTTCTCGAGAAAGTCCCCGTGCATCTCCCGCCCAAGCGCATATTTCCACAGTTTGCAAATAGGCTTGAGAGCCAGAAATGATTTCGGCACGCAGCAGCCACCCTCCCGCCCTCTTCCAAGAAAGCTGGCTTGTGCAAGACATCAGATATTTTGCTGTCCTTTTGGCTTCCTGGATTTGAGACAATGGAGGTGCTTTCTTCCTCTCTGGCCTGGTTGTTGTAAGCTACTCCGCTTTGGCAGAGTAGCAAGGCTTCCCTCCCCCCCCAGGGAAAATAAAGGTGCTAGTCCTCAGGGCTCAAAAGAAAAGGGAGAGATTTGTACGAATCTGGACAAGGAGGGTGGCACGGATGGGGATTCCCCAGCTTGCTAAATTTATGGGGTTTGCAAGAAATGGCTAAATTAAACTTCTTGGCTTGGGAGGGAAAACAATAATCTGTATTTGTGGCTGAGTGGAAAACCCGTAATAGACGTTTTGCATAAAATGGAAAAAATGCACTTACGATTTGTGGTTTTGACGATTAAGGGAAAATATGGAGAAAACAGTGAGGTCCCTTTTGTAACCCTAGACTAGCGGAAGAGAGATTTTGGAAATTGGACTTAGATTTGCTGCAATGGAAATCCCAAGCTTGCTTCCTTGCCTCCCTGTCTCCCTTTACTTTTCCTTCCTTCCTTCCTTCCTTCCTTCCTTCCTTCCTTCCTTCCTTCCTTCCTTCCTTCCTTCCTTCCTTCCTTCCTGTCTTTCCCTCCATCCCTTCTCTTTTTTTCCTTCCTTGTCTCCCTTTATTTTTCCTTCCTTCCTTCCTTCCTTCCTTCCTTCCTTCCTTCCTTCCTCCCTCCCTTCCTTCCTTCCTTCCTCCCTCCCTCCCTCCCTCCCTCCCCACTTTCCTTCCTTCCTCCCTGTCTTTTCCTCCTTCCCACCCTGTCTCTTTTCCTCCTTTCTTTCCTTCCTTTTTTTCTTTCCTCCCTCCCTGTCTTTTCCTCCCTCCTTCCCTGTCTTCTTCCTTCCTTCCCTTCCCTTCCTGTTTTCTTTTTTCTTTTTAAATTCCTTTTTCTTTTCTTTTCTTCCTTTGTGTCTTTTGTAAACATTTAATAAACATTTATTTTAAAAAGTACACTTCTAGTTGTGGTTCAGAAGGAAACAGAGAGATTTGGGCTCAACAGGAATCCCTAGTAGGATGGTAGAGTCCTTTTCAAGGACACACTGTATAAAGATAGTCTTCGACTTACGACTAAGTTCTTATCGGCAGTTCAGAGATACAACAGACTTCTTTGGGGATATATATGAGCTGGTTCTGACGGCCAGGTGTTTCCCTCCCCAGCCCCTGGCCACATGGAGCTCTTGCCTCACAATCAGGAGGTTGCGAGTTCAATCCCAGGTAGAGAGAGGTATTTTTCTCTCTGGTCATGATGAGAATCTATCTGCGGAACAAAACTCCATACTGGCGACAGGAAGGGCATCCAGCCAGTAAAACACTCTGCTAGCTCCATTCAGTGGCCCAGACTCCACTCCGCAAGGGATTATGGGGTTGTTAAAAGAAGATGATGATCGTGGCAGGGGACTTGAGTCGTCCCCCAGTTACGTGCCAGGCATGTGGTTTTTGATTATCCAAAATCTGGACGAGTTTTTCTGTACGAATTTGGCTCCTCTGAGCCAGTTGGACTTTCCCAATAGGGCCGGCCAGGTGTGTCCAGTCCCTGACCTCTTGCCTCGGTTTCCCCACAGGATACGACTTTGCCGCCGTGCTGGAATGGTTCGCGGAGCGGGTGGACCGCATCATCCTGCTCTTTGACGCCCACAAGTTGGACATCTCGGATGAGTTTTCGGAGGTGATCAAAGGTCTCAAGAACCACGAGGACAAGATCCGTGTGGTGCTGAACAAGGCGGACCAGATCGAGACACAGCAGCTGATGCGCGTCTACGGGGCGCTGATGTGGTCCCTGGGCAAGATCATCAACACCCCGGAGGTGGTGCGTGTCTACATTGGATCCTTCTGGTCACACCCGCTACTCATCCCGGACAACCGTAAACTCTTCGAGGCAGAAGAGCAAGATCTCTTCAAGGACATCCAGTCGCTGCCCCGCAACGCCGCCCTCCGGAAGCTGAACGACCTCATCAAGAGGGCCCGGCTGGCCAAGGTCAGTGTTCTCACCCAGCTCCCCAAATATGACAAACCCTTTGACGTTAACTCACAAGATGCCTTGATTAGGAGCGCCGGCAAAAAGTTTCTCTCAACGCCGGCTTTGAAGTCTAGCCAGCCGGAAGATGAATAGTTATCTGCCACATCCATTAATCTCCTCCCCCTGCCTTTGATCCCCAGAGTTAGGGTGGGGCTTCACTAGCAGCGGTGGCTCTTCCGTCCCAAGGACCGGCTCATAGATTTCCACTGCTCTCCTCTCCTCTGCCTTCGGCGTCAGGCACTGGACCCGGCTGTTCCTCCTCTTCCTCATCAGCCACCTCCAGACCTGGGGGGTGTTGACTTTCCATCTGAGGGCTGACCGATGACTCAGGCTCAGTCTCTCTCTCTCTCTCTGTCTCCGTCCCTCCCTCCTCCTCCTCCTCCTCTGATTCACAACAGTCTGAAGCGCTGCCTGTCCAGACATTTGGGGGACGTCTGGGGATGATGGAGAGTGCAGTGGTGATGGGGGAAAGGTAGCCTTGGGCATCTTTGAAGTCTGGCTAGTCTGTGGGGTGCAAAGAATCCAGACTGCGCATTAAGAACACTTAGTTATCCCATTTATAAGGTATCCCTTGACTTATAACAGTTCACTTAGTGACCGTTGGAAGTTACGGCACTGAAAAAAAAAGGTGACTGATGACTGTTTTTCACACTTCATGAATGTTGCACCATCCCCATAGTCACGTGGCCAAAATTCAGGTGCTTGGCAACTGACTCGTATTTATGACAGTCACAGTGTCCCAGGATCACGAGATTCCTCTTTTGCGACCTTCTGACAACGGGGAAGCCAGATTCGCCGAACAACCACGTTGCTAATTGAACCACTGCCGTGGTTCACTTAGCAACTGTGGCAAAAAAGGCCGTAAGAAATGGGGCGACATTGACTTAACGAAGGTCTCACTTAGCAACCAAAAAAATTGGGATCAATTGTGGTCGTTAAGTCGAGGACTATCTGTATACCGCTTCATAGTTAAGTTCCAGTTAAGCTGATTTTATTGCTCTTGCTTATAGAAAATTAAATTAAATTAAATTAAAATTAAATTAAATTAAATTAGGTTAGTAGAGAAGAGTTAGTGGGATTCAAGGGGATTTCAACCATTTGGGAGAATGTAACGATTCCAAGCTAGTTCCTTTCTTGAGACCGCCCCCCCTAGGCTCTGCCTGTCCTCCTTACACAGGCAGGAAGGCAGACAGGAAACCTTGCCAATCCCCTCAAGCAGGAATGTCAAACTCAAGACCCGCAGGCCACATCCGGCCCACGGTGTGGTCAGATCCGGCCTGTGTGGCTTCGGCCTGGTCTAACTCAATGCGAAGAGGAAAGATGCCGGCAGTTTGGGGAGTGGCGTCAAACTAGCCACACCCACCCAGTCGGCCACACCCACCTGACACACGCGCAAGATCAACCACAGCTCTGATGCAGCCCGCAATGAAATTGGGTTGCCCTAAAGCAGGCGTGTCCAACCTTGGCAACTTTAAGACTTGTGGACTTCAACTCCCAGAATTCCTCAGCCAGCTTTGCTGGCTGAGGAATTCTGGGAGTTGAAGTCCACCAGTCTTAAGGTTGCCAAAACACCCTATTGTACAGAGAGCGGACTGGTCTCTTTGACCTTTCCTGCAAATACAAATAATCCTCAATTTATGACCATGACTGGGGCTGGTATTTCTGTCCCAAGTCAGGGCAGTCATAAAAACGAGTCACCACACAACCAGAACTGATTTCCACACTATTTTGTGACCCCCACTTTTTTTTTTGGCTAAGGTTATTAAGTGAGGAACATTTAAACTTTTCAAGGACTTTTCTTTAAATGTCCTACAATTACCGCTGACTTCCTAATTCCGCCCCGCCCACCCCCCAAGTTTAAAAGAAAGTTTTAAAGTTTAAAAAATTAGATCTGTATTTTATTTATTATTTTACTGCGTGTCTGTTACTGGCTCCGTTCGTAGAAAATCTGGCCTTTTGGGGTATTAATTCCAAAAAAGCGGAGACTTGGCTTAGAAAATTTCCCACCAAACACATCCTATTTTTAGGAATGTGCTGTTTTTGTGAAGGCACAAACAGCCGCGGCAGAAGCCTTCCTAGGGCACAATTCTCTTTAAAAGCTCCCTTTGTGGAAACGCACAAATTTTCCAACAGAGGATCCTTTCATATGGGGTGGAAAAAAATCTGCATTAAAGATCCCATTGAGGAAAAATGGACATTGCACCTGGGTGAGTGGAATGGGGGGTAGAATTCCCTTAAATTGGGATTGAAATGTTAAATGGAGACCTTAAATTGGTCCCTTGTTTTTGCAGCAATTGTTCACATGTGCAGTTATCTGAGATGTGCTAAACTGCACTGCAATCCAAAGTGAAATCCCAGTTAACCTTTGAACTTTGTAACCTACATCCCCACCAAGGGGAGAACTTCTTCCTTTTTTTTCTGCTTCTCCCCACCAAAACAATTAACCTTTGATGTGCTAAAGGGGGAAAAAAAACCTTTTTCTGAAAGAGTTTTGCAGAATAAACAAAAAAGCAGAGAGCAGTGCGTGCTTTTTAAATAAGTGCAGCCAATGAAAAGGAGAAGTCCCACTCAGCAAAATCGGATCTTTGTGAAGGTTTGGAGGGAATTAGAAAAATTTCCCAGAAAACTCCACTCAACCTTTTATCCGAGTTCCTGATTCAAGAGGCAAGATTCTCATCAACTTCCATAAAAGTTTCCTTTGTGTTTTGCAAAGGTTTCTCCCCCCCCTACGTACCCACGGTTTGCCAACTTTAGGACGTGTGGACTTCACCTCCCCAGAATTCCCCAGCTGAGGTTAACAGACGCTGCAATAGAGGAATCACTTGTCTCGAGGTACGACCATTCATTCACCAACCATGCAAAGTTACAACAGGGTTGGGGGATAATGGACAAGGCGATACCCTGTTTCCCCGGAAATACGACCTACCCGGAAAGTAAGTCCTAGCTTGATTTTTTTTTACATGTGAGCCCAATATAAGCCCTACCCCCCAAAATAAGCCCTAATTAAGATCCTGCCCATTCCAGAATGGACGGGTAAAAATTAAGCCAGGGTGGGGATGGGAGAAGGTGGAGCTGACCTCCTACTTGCTGGCCCATTTCTTCTGCAGCCATCAAGGCTTCCCTGAAGGCCTCTGTAGCTTGTAACAAAGCTCTGGATCGATCCAGAGCTCCATTATCGGCTGCAGAGGCCTTCAGGAAAGCCTTGCCGGCCACAGAAGAAGTTCCTGAAGGCCTCTGACTGATAAAAGGAGGCCAGCGGGTGACGCACGCAAGTGAGGTGTGTCAGTGGATGAACCTCCCCTGAAAATAAGACCTGGTGCCTTTTTTGGTAGCAACAAAAATATAAGACAGGGTCTTATTTTCAGGGGAAACATGGTATAGTCCCTTCACTTACAACCATTAGTTTAGGGACTATTTGAAGTTATAAGGGCAACTCTAATGACATAATGAAAAAAAAGTTAGTTATGACCAGTCCTCGCACTTACGACCATCACAGCACGCCCCCCCCCCCCCCCAGTCCCATGATCAAAATTGAGGCACTTGTAAATACAACCGACATGGGTTGACAAGGGTTGCAGAGTCCTGGGCTCATTTGATCCTAGAAGGGTTTCCAACAAGGGGAGAAATCAGTTGCTTCATAACTCTGGGATTCGCTTAACGACCATGGCAAGAAAGGCTGTAAAATTGGACCGCAGTTCACTTAATGAATGCTTCAGTTCGTTTTTGGTCCCAGTTTTAGTAAGTTGAGGGGCTACACATGAAGCTTAGCAGGATTGGATTTGTATTTCTTGGACGAGACACCACCAGGAGATGCCAAAGCCAATAGATTAGATTTAAAAGTCCCCCCTCCCCCCCAAAAAAAACCCCAAACATTTTGAAGAAGATGATAGCAAAGCATTTTTTTTTCCTTGTATGACTGGTAAGAAAACTATCAGGTCACTTAGAATTAGATTTGACTTGATGGCTTTCTTCAATTCTCAGCTTAAAATTATGTTTCTTAACTTTAAACAATGCTGGCTATGGAATTCTGGGAGTTGAAGTCCAGACTTGAAGAAGTTGCTGCAGTTGAGAAATGGTGGTTTAAGGGCCTTTAGCCAATTTGGGTCTGAATTATTTTTAGGGCTGCTTTCACCCTTTCCAACTTTCCCTGACTCCCTGAGAGGCATGTTGAGGGCACATCTGTCAACACCACTGCCACCGGCAGGTTTGAAGGGCTGCCTCTTCCTCCTGTTTATTTTTATTTTTATTTTATTTTTATTTTTTTATAACAGCCCTAGATCCAGTCCAGTCTAAACACTGGTCTTTTATCCAACCAAATTCCTTGGTGAGGAAAGTAAGGTCCTATACTAAGGCAAGAAAAACCAAATTCACAGGTATGCGGTAGGTGATACCTGGCTCAGTAACAGTAACTGAGAGAGGGATCTTGGAGTCTGGTGGACAACTACTTAAGGATGAGCCAGCGGTGTGCAGCGGCAGCCAAAAAAGCCAGTGCAACCCTAAGCTGCATTAACAGAAGGATGGTTTTAAAATCATAAGAAGTATCGGTTTTATAATGGTCCTGGTAATGTTGGAATATTGCATCCAATTTTGGTTGCCATGATAGAAAACACATGTTGAGACTCGAAGAGCAACCAAGATGATTAGGGGACTGGAGGCTAAAACGTGTGAAGAACGGCTGCAGGATTTGGGTTTGGCCAGTCTAGACAAAAAGGAGTAGGGGGTGACAGGATAGCAGCCTTCCAGTATTTGAGGGGCTGCCCCAAAGAAGAGGGGAATCAGTTTATTCTCCAAAGCACCAAAAGGCAGGACAAGAAACAATGGATGGAAGCTAATCAAATGTTCTGGACCCAAACCTTGTTCCAAGGAAGCAAAGACGAAACAGAGGGAACAGCAAAACCTTTTAATGATTCTTTACGAATTCAGTTCCTTCCCGGCTAAAAGGCTGTTTCAAACTCATTGCCTCTGATAAGAACGAGCCTTGCCAAGGTGGTGCAAGGCTGCCAAGAACACTAGATAAAGTTACCAAGAAATATTTCAAACACAAAGAGTCTCCAAACACCAACCAAGATATTCCAAACGTCCACAAGGCTTGAGTGCAAAAACTTCTTTGCTTCCTGCAAAGAACTCTGGTTTCTCAGCTGGCTTTTATCTCTTGAGGGAGGGGCCGTCACCTTGCAGCCTTACTCCCGAGTCACCCATGCTGCTGCAGTTGCTCTTTCCTTCGAGTAGCCCTGCACGCACACACGCACTGGGCACAGGCTCCTCGGGGGTCTCTTCCTCACTGCTGCCAGCCTCCTCAATCTCCAAAGGTAGCACTCCACTCCCTGATCATCCTGGCCCCATCCCTGCCTCACACGCAGGCCCCTCCTCTGAGTCCTCGCTCTCTGACACCTCAGCCGTCCACACCTGCTGTTGGCGAACCACAACATCAAGGAGAGAAGCAACCTGGAGCTGAGGACAAATAACCAGTGGAACAGCTTGCCTTCAAAAGTTGAGGGTGCCCCATCACTGGAGGTTTTTAAGAAGAAACTGGCCAACAATTTATCCGAGATGGTATAGGGGCCCCTGCTTGAGCAGGGAGTGGGCTGGACTAGAAGACCTCAAAGGTCCCTTCCAGTTCAGTTATTCTGTATTCTGGTTTCCCCTATGGACTTTTTGCTTTGTAGGAGCTCAGCTGAGAAGGTTGCCGGCAGTGTTCACAGGACGCTGCAACCGTCACAAATATAAGCCAGTTGCCAAGCGCCCAAATTTTGATCACGTGTCCATGGGGACAACTGCGTTGGTTGTAAGGGTGAAAACCAGTGACAAGTCCTCTTTTTCAGTGCCTTCATAACTTGGAACAGTTGCTAAGCCAATGATCCTAGGTGTATTTTTTAAAATAAGTTTTATTTGTACATTTTTAATCACACATACGTGCTTAATATGCGGTGTCTTATTGTCTGAGTCAACTTATACATAAATATCCGTACTAATAACAATATTTACTCGTAAATACTAGTATTCTTCCAACTTCTAATGTCTACCTTTGTTGCCTAACCATTTGTGAAACAATTCCCATGCTTAAAAATATCCTGTCTCTTCTTTCTCCTTTATCTTTAAGGTTAGCCTGTCCATTTCCACACATTTTTTTTAAAAAAATATATATATATATTTTCATCTGTCGGAATTCCCTCTTTTTTTTCCCCATCATTGTGCAAATACAATTCTTGCCGCTATCAACACATGTAATATTAAACGAACCACCCCTTTTATCATATTTTTCAGGTAGTATACCTAACAAAAATATTTCTGGCTTTAAATCTATATTATCAGTTGCCCTCATTAAACCACGAGCCTCAAAAACATCAAAGGATTTCTTAGGGGCGAACGTGTCCGCACGATCTGCATGAAGCCGATTCTGAGACATGTAATTCACTATCCCCTATGACCCTGTTGCCCACCCACCCCCCATGCATAAAACAGACATAGAAATGTATGTTGCTTATAATATATGTTGCTTTATAATTCTTTCTTAACCACGTATGCATTTTTGTCCAGCGTTTTTTGGCTCTTGGACGTGTCCCACCCCCAAGGTGTATTTTATGGCTCTGTGTGGCCAAGCAGCCCTCTCTGCCAGAGTCCAGCCTGACTCCGTTGAGAGGCCCCCCTCCCCAACCTTCTTGTGATGACCCAGGGTGGGATACAAAATAAACACCGTCACAAAAACAGGTGAAGCCCCTTTTATTCCTTCACTTTGCTCCAAAGCTCCAAGTATCCTTGACTGGAGACAAAAAACTCCCCCCCAAACAGTTGTAAAAAGGAGGAAATGCCGTTTAAACTAAAAATACCTATAAATCATAAATAGAAAAAAACAACACAAACCACACTGAAGCAATTAAGGGAACCAGACAAGATAAGGGCTTCAAGACGTCCACAGATACCGGGAAGGACGCCAAACTCAAGAGAGGAACGACAGACCAGAGATATTTCCATGCTTTGTTTCCAGCACTGGCCCATACGCATGTCCGTCCTTTTAAACAGTCCTCACAGCTGCAGCCCATGAAGGGGATCAGGGCCCTTTCCTCCCCCATAGACCATGCTATTCACATCTCTCCCTTATCCTCTCCTCCCTGCGTGCCCTAGGATGGAGAGGGGATGGGCCTGGGTCTTCCTCTGACTGCCCAGCCGGTCTGTGGCCTTCCCGGCCTCCTCCACAACCTCCAGAGCCGCACTGCCTGTCGGCTGTTCCTCCTCTCCCTCGGAGTCGGTCTCCACCAGGGGCATGACACTTCTCCCTTCTGCTTCTTGCTAGGTCCATGCCTACATCATCAGCTCTTTGAAGAAGGAGATGCCCAACGTCTTTGGCAAGGAGAGCAAGAAGAAGGAACTCTTGAACAACCTGGGTGAGATCTACCTGAAGATCGAGCGGGAACACCAGATCTCACCTGGAGATTTTCCCAGCCTTCGTAAGATGCAGGTAGAGACTTGGGTTAGGCCCTGGGGGGGGGGGGGGGGGGGGGAAAGCTGGGGGATCACACATTGTCATGTTACCCCCCCCCCCTACAAGGTAAAGTTCCCCTTGCACATCCGTGCTGGTCATTTCCG